GCTTCGGGAACGAAAGATAAACGTTAGGATATACACGAAAGCATTTTGAAAAGCCTGTGAGTGGAATCACTAGGTATAAAAAAAAATAGCGTAACAGATACAATCAGAGCTCAGAGACGAGGGTTGTGCTTTGGTACTGATATAAATTTGGACCTATCTATTTTACGTACTTCAGGTCAATAAGAATATTTAAAAGCTGTCGATCGGTCTCAATTATGCATCGTCTTGTTTTCTAATTAAATGGTTTAAAATTTTGAGTTTCTTGTATATATGCGGGTAGTATGATCTACAGTCTGGGTGCATAACGTTTATAAGAACGTTATCCGGGAGTTTTTTTAAGTAGCAGTGGGATACATAGTACTCTTTCTGTTATTGTACATATGCAGATTATAATTTCATAGAATTTTATCTTTTTTTATATCATTTTATTGGGACAGACAATACAGCTGCCGTACATCCAACACCCAACTCTTCTGAAATAGCAAATTTGTTGAGTATAATTTTAATTCGCAAAACATTATTTAAAAAAAAAATTGCAGAGTCTCTTAAGATTTTTAAGATGGTTTTTCGCAGCCCAGGATTCCGTGTGACACGGGCGTTTCTCTTAAGGACAGAGTTTTTAATTGTTGGATTGTTATGAAGTCCATTAAGTAGTAAACTTTAAACAGTAACCCTCTGAATTTATAAACTACCATTGCGGTATATAAATCCCACCTAAGCAAGCTGTCTATGGTATTTTATAAAATACGTTCCAGGAATAATAATATTAACATTTACTGTTAAGTTACCCACAGATGATTTTTATATGACGAGAAATTTATATATTTGGTTTTATCAAAATTTAGAGTCAGTTTGTTGTGTCGGTACTAGTTTTTGAGAATTGCGATATCCTCTTCAATCAAAAGAATCTGCCTTACATAGTAGCACCGTATCATCTACATAACTAATTATGGCATTGTTTGTTTGTTTTTCATTTATATACCTTGACGCATTACATATTCTTGTCTTGTCCTAATTTTAGCCCTACTCTGCAAATAACTTAAAACAAAAAATCACTGCGCCTATTCCAGAATATTTTGAATACCTTTATACACAGCGAACAACCGATTTAGCATTTAGTTAACATTAATTTAGCACTAATTCAATAAAAACATCCAATGCTCGCTTGCATATTTATTGCTCTTTGTAGTATATATTCAGCTTTTTTACAGAAGATAGCCAATAAGCCAAAAAATCGATTTTAAGTAGTACGCAATCGATTTTGGGGTTATAAATTCAAAAAGAAGTTGCGTGCAGATTTGTTATAACATCATATTTGCAAACAATCTTGATTGGTTCAAATTCAACCCGAAATCGACAGCAAAGTGGTTGAAGTTGAATCACAAGCGGATATGGTAAATCATGTACGCAAATACGTAAACGTATGATTGGTTGCATACTCCAAGTGCAAAAGGTGGAAGTGATAATATAATAATATAATGCCATTGTGTAGCATAAAAAGTTTCTTTAGGCTTTTCTTAAAGGGCAGAACAAGAGAGCTATAAGCCTATTGAAATTTTGACTTGATCGATACGTTGTCTTGCTTTATGTTATTGCTATTTATTTTTTCTGGATATGCTCTAAAGGACAAACTTTCTAGGATGGGGAAGTTAATTATTTCGAGTTCTATTACGAAAATTTGGCTCCAGTGGATATGCAAGATCTCATTTTGGCGCGTTTAAATATAAATAGTGATGATCTGCCGGTAGGATTTGCGTAACGCCATCCAGTTGTCCAGCGCGTAATGTCATTATTTTAATAATTTTTCGCGTGCGCGCAGGAGTGGTGGGGGAAGGCGGATAATCCGCCGAACAACTGTTCCAGCGGGCCGTAAAAATAAAGTTTCCAAAATTATATCTTTTTATTTTCGATATCCAAGGCCTGGCGTTTAATCGGTCCTGGATATCGGCCGTAAAATCCATAAATTTGCGTCTTACGTTTTATAGACTAAAATTAGAATTAAGGTGGATCATAATTATCTTATGTTATACATCGTGCCGCGAGAACTATTATTAATAGGACACGTAATCAAAATATTTTATTAGATATTTTAATATTTCCATTTGTTTTTAGTTGAGTCTTTCAAATGCGTTAATTTGTTGGGTTTTCTTTTAATTATTAAAACGAGGTTGTCTTAGTGAACACAAAATAGTGTTTCTATTGTTTTTTTTTCTTTAAATACCCGATTTTTTTTGTACTATTTATCATTTTAAAGGGAACGGTGAAATTTTGCAAGCCTTGAGATGCATAATCTCTCACAGATTATTTTTATCTTTTATCGATATAAATAATTTGTTGGAATTAAATCTAAGTTAAAATGTGTTTCAAATGTGAAACATATATTAAAATTGAACACATATAAAAATAGGAATATGATCAAATTAAATCGTAATTTGTAATATATCGGCAAGAAAATTATAAAAATATTTTGATATTTGTATTGATGTTCATATACTGAAAAATAAAACAAATAAATAAAACCGCCTTTATTTTAAGCTCGGCGAAGTTCAGCTGAGCTGTTAACCCAGCATGGAACAATTAATTTGGTACAAAAATTTATACATATACAGATATAAATCGAGCACAAAACAAAAAAAAGACACACACACAAAAATAACACAAATTGTTCAACTGAATCCGATGAAAACTTTCTATTAAATTGTTAATACGTTACAAAAAAAGTTACACTTTTAGTGCTGTATTATTATTGTTCCCAGAAGATTTTTTTTTCAAAGGCATAATAAATTGAACACCATAATAAAAGTTGGGAATAATATTGCCCTTTGCCTTCCATAATTGACTTTTGCCTAATTTTCCTGTGGCACCTGTCGATACCAAAATGTTTCATTCATTCATTCATTAGGTAACAATCACACTAGTGCAAATCACTTTTATAATAAAATATAGTGTTTTCAAAAATGCTGACTATTATCAATAAAATTGATTCTATCGTTATTTGCCAAACTGTGGTTAAGGTTGACCGTATATATATTCCATAGAAAGAGAAACTGACCTTAGTAGTCTGTGTGTGCGAAAATCCATCGAAAAAACTTGTCGGTGTGTCCTCGTACGTGAAGCTATTTTAAAAATCCATTTACTTCGACGAAAAAATAGGTACAGTGGTCAACAACATAAGCAACGCTATAGGTGATTGAACCCGGGCAAATGTCTGTTTCCAGGCGTTAAGTTTGCCATTTCGGTTTTATTATTAGAGAGCTGTAATTGAACGTGAACGCGATTTTTTATTGTCTGGCATAAAAATAATCGGGAATCGCGTGGGCAGACATCAATCACACACCGTCCAGATACGATTTTGCAAAAATAAACGACCTTCTTTTATCGCTACCAAAGTCACGGGATTATGTCCATCTTATTGCCCAATAAGCAAGCTTGACGATTATACGTCATGGGTGGAGAAAGACAGAGAGAAGATAAATCTCGGTCCTAATTACTACATTTTACTCAGATACTCGGCTTGTGTATAAAATTGAATATTCTTATCTCATAATATAATATTTATCGGCAATTTATAAAGAATCCCAGTCTTCCGCGACTTGCGAAGTACCCCGTGATTCTAATGTTGGGCCATTACTAGTTTCAATCTTCATCGAATAGTCTGACAGTCCTAGTTTTTGAAATGAATTAAAAATGAAGATTTTGGTGATATTTTCACGGTTTTTTCGATTGGAGGCGTGTCTAACAAAAATTACAGCAGTAATAACAAATAAAGTTCACCCTCTGATACTATATACAGAGAGAGGGTGTCGCAGTAGTGCACCGACGGTTGCTATTTTGGAAGCCATAGAAATAAAAATTGAATTAGAAAGTTGCACAGTTTCATCACAGGAATAACCTAAAATTATTTTCATGTATGCAGGACGCCACATAAATCTGTAAGAGATTTTTCTTTTCGAAATACCTACACTTGAATTCTATTATATATTCTAAACACATTTTGCACAACATGTGCTATAGATAAACTTAATTGCTCCTTTTAAATGTTTGCCATTTTGCAAAAAAAAAAGAAAAATGTTTGCCTTTTTTTTTAATTTCATTCTGTTGTATGTTTGAATAGAAAAATACAATTCTATAAAGAGACCTAATTTATCTTTTCAAAATTAAATTTATATTGTTTTATATTATTGCACTTTCGTTCAGTTGAAATTGGATGGGACACCCTGAATACATTTCTAATTTAAAACCGTTTTTTTGTTATTTATATTATATTGTTTTTTTTTTTTCGACTGGTTCGTAATTGAGATTACTGGGTCGCATTATTAGAAACATATTTTTTGTTATTTGGCAGTCGATATAACCCTTCCGGATAGTTATAACTGATAAAACTGATAAAACTTTTTTTTGTGTTTTAATCTGATTTTTCCCTCGGCTATATCTATTCAAAACTTACCTGAGTGATATCTCAGTCATGCTACGAGGAAATCAAAACTCTCATGGATCTACCAGATCAATAGAACTCGTGAGAACACGGCGAATTTCAAAAACCCCGCCAGCCGCACTGGACGATCGCGAACCGATTTTAAAACTGAAAGTTTTTTTCGCGGACGTTGGCTCCTTTGCGATTATCTGTCGTTGGATGTTAGCCAAAAGTCGTATCCTAGATTTTAAAAAGTGCGAAAAAAATCGGAATAATAAACAAATCGAAGATGTCTGGATAATATTAAAAAAAAAACGAGGACAAGTAAACCTCTAGGTCGGATTAGTCAATATATTCCGATACCGAGGTATTTATGGCAGCGAAATAATTTTTCCTTCCCTCTTTCGTTAGCAAAAGATTCTAGAATGACGTTTTTTATAAACTCGCCCTAGATACAGGAATACTTTATTGGTTTCAGTTTTATTTTTCAATTTATACCGGAAATGCAGTTACGTGATTTGTGCGAAATCGGAATCTGTGGGGCGACAGCGACTGACCAAAATTTATTCTGTAAAATTACGTCACATACATAACCCAACTAAATGTAAACAATCGTTATGTTATTAATTCCGCCGTAAACAACTTTTAAATATGTCGCTAGCGATTCTGCATGCCGTTTTGGTGTACTCTATAGTATGCGCGGTGGCGTTCGAGGATTTTATTTATGTCTACGGCGAGGGAAATAAAGAAATGACAGAACAAGGCCGAGCCCATTATCAGATGATCAAAGAACGTGGTAGTTTGCCTAAATACGGTTCCTGTTGGAAGGCTGCTTTAGAACACATAAACGAGGGCTGTCGTTATTTGTCGGAAGATACCCAGAGCGATATAGCTTTACACATAACAAATTGTTTCCTTCAAATGTCAGGTCATGAAACATACAACTGTGAGTTTGACAAGAAAGCAAACTTGAGAAGTATCTGTATAAATAGTATGTCGGACAGGGCGTTTAATGTTTATACCGAGTTTTATACACATACACAGAACATCTGTTGGTTCCTGAGGGGCCAAATTTGGCACGAGGCTATAGCAGAAAACACTTTGCGAGTGGGTAAACAGTTGGAAGTATCTACTCAAAACCAAGAGGACTTAATCAAAGTACAGCGCGAGAGTTTGGAGCTTCAGGATAGGATGCTAAAACAGGGGAAATTCTTGGAACATGTTATGGAGGACATTTATGTTGCTACACAAATGCACCAAGAGATTTTAAATCTGCTGACCCGGAGTGTTACTAATTTGCAGACTTGGATAGTGGGTGAAGTGTCATGGATAGATACTATCATCTTTAATATGACTGCTCTGTTTATGGTATTTATGTTGACCTCCTCACAGAGGACCGCAGCTGCCCGGTTTCCATTGTTTATTTTGTTATTTTTAAATTTGTGTGTGGAACGGATGATTTGCGCAATTTTCAGTAAAAATCAAAACGAATATGACACTAATGTCTTATACAGTACCATCTACAGGTTTGTTTGGTATTCAAGGTATGCTTTTACATTTCTGGGGGCCTTTGTTATTATTTACAAAGCTATAATGTACACTGACTCATTCCAAGAAAATGTTAAACTCTTGTTAAAGATAAGAGATCAGAACAATAAAATTTTACGAGCTTTGGAAAGTTTGAGCATAAGTGGTAATTTACACAATGCCAATTTGGAGTTTGTTAACGAGTCATTTCCTAGAGATCACAAGGAGAGGAGTGTCTCGAAATTTAGTAATAAATTTTTATATAGAAGGCTTGAAGAGGACAGCAGTGAGGATTCAAAAGGCAGCTTCAGAAATTTGGGACTGAATTACTCAAAGAGATTCGTTCATGATGGCTCAAAAAAGTATAATTTAAGAAGCAGGCAGGGCACCCCTGACTCGGGTGTCAATTGAAATATATTTTTGAGTAGTCTCTTAATGTAGTTGTTTGTCTGAAAAGTGGTGTAATCTCAAACTGCTCGCAATTTTTTAGTCTAGGAACACTAAGTTAGGAAAGCTAGAAATTTACATTCCGATTGTCAAATACAAATGTGATTGTATCAATCTTTGCTGTTTACTTAGTGAAATAAGTTTACTCAGAATATTAATTGGTTTTAATTTTTTTAAATGTTTTTTAGTTATTAAGTGCCAAGGTAGTTTCAATTTATTTATTTTATTATTAATAATAAAAATAAGAAATTCAGAAATTTGTATCATTTTTTATGAAATAGAAAAATCAACATTGCAATATTTTATTAATTTAAATATAACAATAAAGAAACAAAAATTAATTGATATATAACATTAAAAATGATGTGTATAAAAAATCACCCCTTAAGTTTGGCTAATTGTGCTTCAATCTCATCATCTGTAAGAGCTTTGGATTTTTCACCTATTTTTCCTGATTCAGGTAAAGGAGCACCAGACATTTTTCCACTTATTTCTATACCAATTTCATCCAAAACTTGTGTTACAATGTTGTCACTCTCCTCTTCATCTCCTGATTCCGTCAGCATCTCATCCAATGTATCATTAACTAATAATAATAAAATAAGTCAGATACATTACAAATTACAAAGACAGATCAACTCACTCATTTCATCAGTCATCTCCATTTTCATATTTTCCCTGGAGAATGCATTAACAGTTGCTGCAATCTGTTCAGGCCTCATCAATTTGTTCATATTTGCCATAGATTTGCCCGCAACACCCATTGATTCAGCTAATTTTTGATTCGCCCCCATAGCCTTGTTCTGGAATTGAATTCCAGTGATTTTGCTACTAGCTGCATAGGAACGGTTTTTCTGTTTTCTGAGCTGTACCAGTTGCTTGGCCAACAACCGACATCCTTCGTTGTTGCCTTCTTTGGCAAGTTTCCTGATTTCTAACTCCAATTTTTTTTCATCCCTTTCGAGCTTGAGCCGATCCCTCTCAATGTCTCTGTTGGCTTTTCTTAGTTGTCTGTCGTTTTCCTTTTGCTCTTCTGTAATGCACAAAGAATCAAAATTCTACATGGCGAATGTTTCGGGAAGATATTTACCTTTGGGATCTGGTTTGGACCAAAAATTAAACATATCGATCAAGTTGCTCCAAAAATTTCGATTGCAATTAACGGGTTTGCTTTATTAACCTCAAAAAATGAGTCATAATCATATTTTTGTTTATTTCTGTTGCTTAAGTCATTTTCGGACGAAGAAATTAACTAGAGTATTCTTTTCGGGTCTGATTCTTCTACCACTGTGTAGATGGTGCTAGTGAGGGGCTGAAGCAACTACTAAAATGTATTTTATGGTATTTGAAATCGATAGAGGATTTAAAGATAAATTTGAGTGATATTAATATCAACTGCAACTGCAAATATTCATTTTATCTCATTTTCTAACTAAAGCAATTTATTCGAAATAACGTATCCTGTGATCGTCAAACTTAACTATCAGGCACTAGATGATGCGGCGTTGAAATATAGAGCTCGCGCAGTATTTCATGGAGCGTTGGTTAGTTAAGTTAATTGTTAAGTAAATGTTTATACCAATCTCGCAACAGATGGCGCTTACTCAACGTCACACTGTTTTGATCCGACACCGGTTTGTGTTAAATACCGGTGCCTTTCACAATTATTTTGTGTTGTATGAAAGGAGAGACGGTTAGCACTCCCCTAGACAAGGATGGAATAACACACATATGGTTAAGGCACACTTAACCAACATTTTTTTTTAAATGACAAGTTGATTCAATTGATTACTTTTCAGCTTAATTTTCGCGTTTGAGCATTTTTCTTAGTAATTTATGGGTTCCTCAGCACCACATAAAATCGCAGCGTTTTGAAATTCGAACGTCGTAGATGACCAAGTTTGTAATAATTTTGAGATCGGCTGTTGTACGAATTAATCATGGCCCAGGTTGCAAGAGAGAAAGCGGGAGGTCCGTCCAAATTGAACCGCTACCACCCATCGCTTGACAAACACCTCCAATAATGCATGTGGACTTTTTAATAAAACGCATATCCTTCGCGGGGACTCTGACATTTAATTTATGTGCCAGACAGGCATTTAGGTTTGCTGCGGTCTAATGGCTTTATTATTAATATTAATAGTGACGCATTCTGATGACTGGGTTTTGGTATACAAGCCCTTTTATTTCGACGCGCACCGGTCAAAGAAGGCTCTGTTAACAACCATGACATTCAAATGATTTAATGTCAAGTATTGCCCGCGTATCTAAAGCGTGATCGTTTTATAAGACCGACGGCACAGAGCACAAAACTCCGTTATAGTTTCGGTCGGGCAATTATCGTCGACATAGTGGTCCTCTGTTCGCATTAATTAAATTATTTTATTTACAAGAGCGCTTTTGTGCGCGCCCCATTTGGGTCAAACATTTATGAAGTACACAGATCTCTCGGTTCTAATGAAACTTAACGAGGAGAAAAGCACAGATTTACATCACGAATCTCTTTTGTCTTTAAGTAACCCCACCGATTGGTAAGGCAAATGACATTTCGGGTATGGAAAAGAGAAATGGGTCCTTATTAAGTAAGTCTATGAAATAAATACGGGTTTATTTATTCACAATTCAGTAACTACGACAAACGATATTGTAAAATGTTTATAATATTTATAAACTTGCAGGCAATATGGAATTTAGGTACATATTACAAATTTATCTTTTATATGAGTAATTCTATGGACTTTAAGTTTTTTGTTTTCATTTTATTTTCTCAAAATAATTTAGTTTTGGTTATCTCTTACGCATATAAAGGTAATGGTTTCGCACGAGAATACTCGAGGAGAACTCATTCCAGAAATCCTGAAATACCTTTTACGAGATGTTTTATTAGCTTTGTATGCCATGCTCCAATAAATCGCGTCATAGGACAGGGACAGTGGCGTGCCCATAAGCCAATATTTGCAATTTGAAAACACTGTCCGTAGCAAAATAAATAGCTACCGGTTCTGACACCTTCACCTCCACATACGGCGAAAAATGTTTGTGAATTCTTAATAATGCTCGATAATAACGCAACGACTGGTTAGTATTCAAGGTGTAGTCCAGTGTCAGTGTCAAAGAACCTGAATTCAACGAGCGTATAAAGGCGAAGTATTTGGAACACCCCGTACGTGATGAAAGAAAATGTCGAAAATATAATGTTTCTGTGACACGGACGCATTGAAAGTTGCATTGACGTTGCCTAACTTTGATGACATTGGCCTTCATCAAAACTGTTCTTTCAAAAAATTTTTCTATATGTGTCTACAGCATTTCATTCGCTTAATCTAAATATAGGCTTTATCAGCGATAGTTAAGGCCTTAGTGTCGATTTGAGCCATATTTCATATTGTAGCCCACAGAATGATAATATTATAAAATTTATGGTGACAGAAAATATTTAGTGATCCGTAAATCTGGTTAATATTTATATTTCATTTATCAGTTAAAGGGTGAAATTTTAATAGCCCTTTTAAACATTTAACTCGTTTAACCATTATTTTAGAATCAAAATTTTAAATAAAAAGTAATAAAGCAAGTTTTTGCTTTAGGTACATGTTAAAAAAATATTGTAGGATTCAGTGATTGAATGACGTGAAGATTAAAAATTATATCTTCTAGACAAGTATTACTACCCCAAAATGCTAGTTAGTTGAAGTTTTGGCCTATAAATACATTATTTAAATTACGCAAAATGCAAAATATTGTACGGTAGACAAAATAAATGATGATGATAAGTGTGCCCCACTTGAGAACTGTTCACACTTGTGACATCTTTGTTTGTGGATCGATTTTGATACTTTTTTTTGTTAGATAGATCTCTGAAAAATGTATTAAATCTTGTTTTGATCATTGCTTCAACTTACAGTCATGGCCAACTGGGACTACTTAATAAAATAAAGAGAAAGAACTTTTAAAAAATTAAATTGGAAACGAATTCTTATTCAGGAGTACCTAGAACCAAACTGTATCAATTTCTATAATGGTTCAATAGAGAGTGTTTCAAATATCGTTTACGCCCTACTTAAAACTGTATATCGTTGTAAAATCTTTGGTTACGGTTTGACTTTGATAATTTTTTTGTTTTTGCATAGATCCCTCAAAAACGCACTAAGACCTTATGTTTCTTTATACGTCAACCCAAAGTCATGGCCAACTGAGCCTGATGTCAAATATCGGGGATTTCTTTAAGAATATAATGTTAAAGAATTTTTATTGGTTACTACATAAAACGTAACCTATTAAGCATTAGTCAGTCCTGTAGAATGTTTGTTTAGGCTCAATTTTGATAAATATTTTCTGCTTCATAGATCTTACTAAAGAGAAGTAAAACGGTTTTTTGAAGTGGAAAATCGAGAAGCACTTTTAGGGATATTTTGAAATTGAAAATGACAATAGATTCGTACCTAAAAGTAACTAGACCAATGACCAAAGTTTTTAATGTTTTAGGAAAATAAATATCCTAAACCTTTTCATTAATCATTTAATTAATTAACTTTAATCATACAAATTTTAGAAATAATAAATAATAAAGATTATTTCAGGGACAGTTATTTTGTAGTATCATCTTAAAACAACAGCATTAATAAATATTAGTATTCGAAAGGTATAACGTAAACAAAATTAAAATATAAATTAGCGAGTGAATTTGACAGAAAAATCCCTTTTAATTAAAAAACAACAGCACTGTAAAGTCTGTTTAGTTCTAATCTAACCCTCTCCAATCATATTAAATTTTATGAAAATCATTACTATCTTTCAGTGAAATCTCTCCAAAAAAAAAAGAAAAAAAAGAGACATAAACAAACACTCTGCAGCAGTGCTTAAGCAAGGCGCCCGCGATATTTCGAGGACCCTGTATTCGAACTTCACGGAAATTAGTATTGTTAGGTTTTATGTAGTCCTGAAGAAGAATTCATTGATACTTTATTCTTAAAGAAATCCGTAACAGCCCTTTCCGATATTTGACATCAAAACTTAATCCCAGTTAGCCATGAATTCAGGTTGATGTAATAAGAAACATAAGGTTTTAGTGCATTTTTCAGAGACCTATAAAAAAAATCGAAATCGAACCATAAACAAAGATTTTACAAGGGTGTACAGTTCTTAAGTGAGACACCTGTATTTAAATATATTTGCAAGTAGATGCAATGTATAATACAAATTTTGGATTAAGGTTTCCGATTTCAGACGAAAGAGGCGCCACCGACAGGTAAATTTGCATGTTTGACGTAGCAGTGAAAGCGATCTGAATCCCGAGACGTCTCGACGGATCATTTGTGGAATGGCGTCTAGAACGGTGATAAAAGCGGAAGACAAGGAAGTCGTTTTAGACCCTTCAGGGACCCCTTCGTCCGAGATAAACTGACCCTCGGGCCGTCGAGGCACTTGTTGCCCCGGCGACGGATCCTTATCTTTACAACTACCCAGATTGCCGCTGTCAATTAGTACCGATTTCGGTTGTCGACAAATTTTTATCGCCTCATAACGTCGGTATGCCATCAATCACCCCAATTTTCCGATACCATACGCATTGAGGTCGATAATAGGTGTCTTTTTAGTTCTAATCGAAAGGGACTTTAAAGTTTAAGTATTGTTTAAGGAATAACTTAGGAATGGAATTTTTCGAAAAAACTTCTACAGGCTACTGTAATACTATTTAAAAAACTTCTGGTTGATGAATTGAATTTGCTGACGTTTCGCCAATCATCAGCAAGTTCAATTCATCAACTACCAATGCAGGAGGAGTCTAGAAAATTTGCAAATAGTATTACAGTAGCCTGTAGAAATTTCTTTAAAAAGTTAATAAGGAAATTATTAATATTAATATAAGTGATTGACTTTTGTTAATAACATTTTGCTCTATTTTTTGAATTTTTTCACTTAGGAAGTGTTTAAGATGTTAACATTTTTTAAATTTTTTTAAAATATTAGTACTATTTACATTTAAAATACGTTTCGGATGTTTAATTTTCTTTCTTTTTCTACTTCCCTATCTTAAATAATCTTAGCGGATTTTTTTTCATTCATTCATTCCATTTTTGAGCTTAGTTTCTTTTTCGTTTTCTCAGTGAATTCTATCTAAATTGGAGCTGATCCGGCAATACAGCCATTATGGATTTTGTAAGGCAAATTTTATTTAGAGGGAAGCGGAATGAGTATTTTTGTATTTTGTGTTGTCATT